TTATAAAAACTAAACAGCCTACAGTATTTTTACAGTCTTTATTAAAATAAATGTTTGTCGAATAAAGTCTAATCTTACAACTAATCAGGGTTCATTTTACAAAAAAATTTTTTGATTTAGTGTGACGTGATTTTAGCCTTTCCAAAGATTTTCCAAATTCTTTTTACTCCCACAAAATGTACAGTTTTTATACAGTTTATCCATCAAAACAAGACATTTTTGTCTTCTTTCACCCAGATTGTGTCTCACTGCTGAAGGATTTATGGTTTCCTCTCAAATCCCCTAAAGGCTCAACTATACTTTAACAAGATGCAAGCCTTGTTCACACGGACCACTCATACTCAAAGAAAAACCCGCGGGGGATAMATCTTGATAAGCTGTCTCACCGCAGCCCACGTCACAATCAAAACAATCACGGGTAGAGTGGACGCTTATTTTCATTTAAACATGAAGGTGGGGGAGAAAGATCTGGGGKTTTTTTCCTCGTCATCTGAGGAGTAGAGTTTAGAGCCGGGCCTATAAGTTCTAAGCCCGTAGATCTGACCCAATTAACTCTAATTAGAGCCCAAAGCAAACCTGACATGTTTTCATTAATCTTTCAGTGATTTYGTTTTTAGTCCACTTTTTGAGTTTTTAAGCAAATCAAACAGGAGATGCTGCTTGATTGGTTTTATTGAGCAAATGTRCAGCTGACGTCCACGTCTCCTTTTCATCTCTATAGTCTTAACAAAAAAAGTTTTTCCTCCTCTGACTCCAGAGTAAAAAAACTCTACTGTTGATTTATTTGCTGAGCTGTGCAGCGTGTTCTACAGTGAGAGGACAGAGAGGAGGAATTATAAGGATTTATCCCAACAACACAATATTTCTGTTTTATATAAGAAAATAATGAAATTTATCCTAGAAGTATGTTTAATAGCTACGACTCCTAAACTTTACAGATGACTTTCGGGGTTAAATGTTTTGCATTATAYGTGCATAAATATGGTAAATCAACACAATTTTAGATGGAGCATTCTTGTTTAGTTTTCTCTGTGTTGAATGGAGTAGGCTTATTAAAAACACAGAGGCTCGAGGCCGACATGACCAACAAGCGTACCTGACCTGGCCTGAATTACAGCTTGGTCTATAAATGTAAACTCTACCAAGGAGAAGTGTTACTTTGAAAAATTGTTATGAAAAGACTGAAGCTGTTTACAACAGGAACATGYCCAATGTGCACTCCATCCTGGTTTGAGGTTTTTAAATTCATTTTCACTGGAACAGTTGTAATGTTGGTTGTATTTTCTTACAGCCTCAGCCAGCAGAATCAGACGCTGCTCATAGCTCAGGCCACAGGGGCGCCAGCGGGGGGGGGGGGGGGGGG